ACAAGCAGTAGAGGTTGGGGTGTCAGGTTGCGGGGCCTGTGGCTGGTTTCTAGAGACTTTCCGCAGCTCTGACCTTGACGGGAACCCACTGCACTTGGGCATGGTGCTGTCCAGCTCACTGAGCATGCTGAGCCATCCAGGGACCTCAGGCAGGTAACCAGGGCATGGCCCTCCACCCATCTCGGGCGGGGGTGGGGAAGAAATGAGTTAAAATTCTCAAAAGAACATTAAAGTGAAGCATAACAGATGGAATATAAGGCATAGTTGTATTTTTTAAATGATGATTTCTGTATTGTTTCATCAATGGAGAAAGAAAAAAACAGCCAGGGCCAGGCCTAGGGCGGGGGAGACCACAGACAGCAGTTGGCACTGCCCATCCCCCGGCTACTTGAACACCGCCACTGGCCCTACACACTCATAATTTTTTCAAAAAGATGTCTTTATTTTTATTTGAAAGACAGAATTTACAGAGAGAGGAGAGACAAAGATTTTCCATCTACCGGTTCACTCCCCAAATGGCTGTCATGTCTGGAGCTGAGCTGATGTGAAGCTAGGAGCCAAGCACTTCTTCTGGATCTCCCATGTAGGTGCAGGGACCCAAGGACTTGAGCCATCCTCTGCTGCTTTCCCAGGTCATAAGCAGGGAGCTGGATTGGAAGTGGCACTGATAGGAGATGCCAGTATCGCCGGAAGAAGATCTGCCTGATACACCTCTGCAGCAGCACCCTGCCCCTAGTAACTTAACCTGAGCAACACCCCATACTTAACCTAACAGGAGTATTCCCTCTCCTGCGGTGAGGACCTGCCCTTCTCCGAAAAATGAGACTCACCAATGTCAGTCTGTGTGCTGTTGGATTCTCTTCTCATTCTTCCTCAATCACATTTCCATACACCATCATCCCGGATGAAAATGCCAGCCTAGCCATCAGCAGCATTTCTTGCAGTCAGTGTGCCCTCATAGCATGGGTGAAGAAGAAAAGCCCCATCTTGGCAACTGATCTCGAAGTTGCCGCGGGCATTTACTGCTCTTGCCCTTGTAGCCAGCAGCTCGCCCTGGTGACAGGATATCAACTCTGGTGCCCCCTAGGTTGCTCTGCTCGCCCACTGCTCTTTCTGTATTGGACGTGGAAGTGTGACACGGGCATTTCATCTCCATACAGTCATCCATCGGGCAGCCCATTGCTAGCCCAGATCAGTCACCCCAGCTGGAGGAGTCACCCACTTCTTTGCCTGTCATCTTGATGACATGAGGAGCTCAAAATGGCTGAGGGCAAATTCTCCGCTTCTGCTTCAACTAAACCACTGAAGCCCAAGAAGCATTCTTCCCTTAACAGCCTATTCTCTAGATTACTCAAATCCAACATTTCATGGATGGGAAGGAGTCTTGTGGATGGGCTCCGCTTTCCAGGGCCCTGTCTGCATTTGCATGGTCAGAACTCAGGCAAGGGGCAGGCTTTTACCTGACAGTTGAGCTGCCAGCTAGGACACCCACATTACGCATCTGAGTGCCTGGGCATTACGTTCTGGCTCCATTCCCAATTCCAGCTTTCCTGGTAATGTGTATCCTGGGAGGTGGCAAGTGAACTCAAGTAGTAGATGGTCCTTGCTGCTCTGCCATGGACGTTAGGGCAGACTCTTTGAGCAGGGCCAGAGTAACTCTGTTCCAGAAAGCTAATCAGGTGACTCCCTGCTCCCCTGCCCATTCACCCCCGAGGCACTCAGACCTTGCCAAGCAATGCCCTGCTGAGAACACAGGGCAGGTGGCAAGGCTCCAGGAGGAAGCTATCAGCTCAGGCCCTTAACTTAAGCAGCCTGGGAACCAGGGACAGGCTTGCCTGTGAGTGGAACCAGACAACAACCTACTTTATCTCACCAAGAAGGATACCAGCCTACACAATGAATCCTTTCCTTTGATCTCTTCTGGAAGCCAGCTCTGGTTTTCCTGCATCCTCTAGCAAGCCCCAAGGCCAGCCTGTAAAGCCCCTGTGAGGTCTGTTCCCACGCTGGCACTCTGGGGCAGGCTGTGCCTGTCAGCCAACTCCAGGTCTATCACCACCAGGAAAGCACTTGTGTGCACTGCGCTGCTTTGGCAGGATCTGAAGGGAAGTGGTGGGACCGACAGCCCAGGAGGGACCTGCAGTGCACTTACACTGTGCCTTTTCTACTCTGGGTCAAGCATTTACCTGCTCACAGCCCGGGGAGGCAGGAGCTTACCTCCCATTTTACAGGCAAGAAAACTGAGGTTGACAGAAGGTAAGGAACATGTTCAAGTGCATACGGCAGAACTTAGATTTCAACCCAATCTTCTCTCTCCTTTGCTTTTCTAAAGGATTTATGGAAATCACTCCTGCTTAAGGGGTGACACTCTGTACACCATTTTGTTGTGCCCAGCTGAACTGTAGACCCACTGTGAGCAGGCCCATGTCCATGTGAATGCATGCCCAGCACAGAGCCTCAGCTACTGGAATATGAACATGGGAACCAGAAGAGACCTGTTAGCTCTGGTGCACACCTCACTCCCAGGGGCTCAGGACTGACCCGGTCAAGGACACACCCCCCTGAGTTATCCTCAGCCTGACCAAGCCTTTCTGCTCCCAAACTCCATGCTCTGTAGTGGCTACACTCTGTGACTAACATACAGTCACTGTCCTTTATTTAGCATGTTGGTGTTTGGGTTCCTCACAATTTGTCACTCTGGCAGATGATGCAAAGAAAACTTGGTGCTTGCTTTGGCTCATTTCTCTAAGTGCTTCCATGGCCCAAAACCCTACACTGTAGTTGCTGGATCTCACATCTCAAGCTGGGATGGGTCACCAGATAAACAGGGTCACCAGATAAACAGGCAGTACCAGTCTACCCGCCCCTTCCCCTGTGGTAGGAGAGTGCTAGTTTGCTGTTCTTAGTGTGTTCCACATTAAAACTCTGCAGACACTGCCGTAGAGATTTCTGGGGCAGGGTTTTGGTTTTTTTTGTTTTTGTTTTTGTTTTAATATATTTAAAAGGCAGAGAGAGAAAGAGAGAGCTCCCATCTGCTAGTTCACTTCCCAAGTGCCCACAAAAGCAGAGGGTGGGCCAGGTTGAAGCGAGGAGCTGCATCTGGGTCTGTACGTGCGTGTCAGGGGCTTGAGGACTTGAGCTGTGAGCTGCTGCCTCCCAGGGTGTGCATCATGAGGAAGCTGGAATTGGCAGCAGAGCTAGGACTCGGACAAGGCACTGAGTGTGAGATGTGGCTTTCCTGAGCGTTTATCTTTGTTGCTATACCAAATGGCCGCCTTTGGGGCAATTTCTGACGGTGTTCAAGCTGTACCAGGGTTCTCTTAAACAAGCCTCCCTGCTTCATAGACACCAAACATGGTCCAGTTTGGGAAACTTTTCCAAAGTCCACTGCAGTTCATCCCCCTGGGAATTAGGTCCAGTAAGCCCACAGGAGCCAAAGGGATCCGTCAGGTACTACATGGAGATGCCACAGCAGAGAAAAGAGGTAGGTGGTGGTGAACTGCCCCCACGGCCTCCCTGGCACTCACCAAGAAGCCAGCTGCCACCTCAGCTCTGAGGGGGAGTTTCTTCTCATGCTGTTTCCTAAAATAAAAGCTGCATGCAGCTCAGGAAAAACAGGGGAGCAAGTGAAGCTGCGAGCCCAAGGAGGGCTGGTGAGATTGTCTGCTGCCCCCACCTCATGGGTCAGATGAGGAAATGGAGACCCAGATGCATGGGCTGACTAGTTCAAGGTCACACAGAGCAGCAGGAAGAGCAGCTGCAGAGTCCAGGGCAGAGCCCGAGACCCTACCTTCCAACAAGCACTCTACGTGATATAGCAATCCTTGAAGCTTCCATCTTTAGTCTCAGCTGCTTTAGAAGACAGGACAGGAACGGGGCCAGCATGAGGGCGCATGGGTCCAGCCACACTGGAGTGCCCATTTGGGTCCCAACCACTCGGGGACTAGCTTCCTGCTAATGTGCTGGAAGGGCAGCAGAGGATGGCCCAGGGGGTGAACTTCCTGGCTCCTAGTTTTGGCATGGCCCAGGCCTGGCTGTTGCGGTCACTTGGGGGATGAACTAGTGGACAGAAGACCTTTCTCTCTGCCTTTCAAATAAATAAATCTTAAATCAAGAAATAAGACAGGACAGTTGGGTGTCTGAAGAGGGCTGAGCAAGCCAAGGTCCTGAGACCCTCTCTGTCTGTGGGTACTCTCCCATGGCCTTGGACTCCCCTCTCCGCCAAACCATTCACACTCCTCATTCTTCAAGTCCCCAAAGACCTGCTACCTCCTCTGAAAGCATTCCTTCATTCTCCAGAGCAACTGCTGGGCCCGTGCCCAGGTATGCAGGCCCCGACCTGGGCTCGTCCTAGGGGGTCTTTAGGGTGGCATAGTTCCTCTGCCCTAGAATGCAACAGCCTAATACACAGAGGCAGCAATGCACCAAAACCACCTTCAAGAACCCCAGCAGCAGCAGATCCAGCAGGGGGACGCAACTTTGAACCACAGCCTGCATGTGGCTTACTGCAGGCTCCCAGTGTGAAGCCAAGAAGAGTTAACTGCCTCCACAGGAATCTGGACTGGGGAATTTTGTCACAAAAGGAGATTGTACTCCCAGGAGCCACACGGAGCTTCTGGGAGACATCAGTGTGACCCAGAAAAGCCCAGGAGGTGGCCACCTGGGGACTGCAAAGCACCTGCAAAGATGACCTCACCTGGGGGAACTTGGGGACCTGCTCTGCAGAGCTCCCTCCAGGAGGCCAACCCCCACTTACACCAAGAACACGGCTCCTCTGTCTGCCTCCAGACTTCAGGTCTGTAAAATGCAGAGGGAAGAAGGCAGCCTGGCTAGGAAAGATGTGACTGAACGGCCACTGCCACCCAGGGCTTAGGAAGGAAATAGTTAACAACAGCCCCAGAAGGCCCTACACATACATGCACAAGGTACCCTAGAGTTTGGGGGTTCCTGGGCCCTGGCTCTCCGAAGGGCATCGGAAAGGAACACACAAGGCGCTGGCATGTGAGGGCTCATTATCTCCAGTTTATTTCCATGTGCTTGTTTACACACATATGACATCTGTGTACATAGCAGCAACAAGAGCCATCTCCAAACACAATCTGGTACCCAGACAAGGACAGACACCACGGGAAACAAGGTGCCAGGGACCGAACCTCAACGCAGGGAGGGACAAGCCACGGCAGGGGTCAGGGCTCTGGGACTGCTGAGGTCCCCCGCAACCCCCAACTCAGTAGCTGGGACAGCATACTCTCATCAAACCACGCCATGGGAAACCCAGGGCTCCACCATCCCGGAGAAGCTCATGTCTCAGGCTTCTCTTCAAAAGCCAGGATGACCAGAAGGCTCTGTCAAGAACTGGGCAATGAGGCAACTGCCACATGCGTCACTCTTCGTGTGCCTTACAAGACCCTCCACATCTGGCAGAGGACCAGGAGGCTTGCCCGCAGCCTCATCCTGCCAGGTGCTGGGCTGAGGCCTGCTTGCCTGAGCCCCCTACTCACTGCTCTGCCTCTGCGGGGCTGCCTCACAGGGAGTTCCTGAGGGAAAGCTGAGAAAAGAGGGGCCGAGAACTAGCAAGTGGTGGGAGCCGAATGCTCCTCCATGCCCACTTGGTGCCAAGCCAGAGTCACGGCCACTTGGCAATGTGTCTGGAATGGAGCGTGACTAGCGAGCTTCTGGGTGCTCCTTCTCCTGTGGGACCGACCAAAAGACACAGGAGAGGATGCCAGCAGGCCCCTCTCCCAGGCCCCTCTCCCGGGCCCCTGCCCCACCGGCCCTCCCACCCCAGTCTCTGCCCTGCCCTACATTCTCAGTGTCTGTGTTTGTTTCTCTCTGGGTACAATACTGTCAGCCTTATGTTTGGAAGGATAAAGCTCACCTATAGCTGGGTGGGATATAAAACATGTATTTTAAATATACCTTTTTAGATATGTATGTGATCTGTATATATAAATTGCCCTGAAGACTTGCCCTCAAGCTCCTGACAAGCTTAACTTGGGCCAGTTACGTGTAGTGTGAATCAGTTATGTCACCAGGCCTGTTGGGAGGGAGGGTGCCAGGGAGGCATCCTGTGTTGGGAAGTTCAAGGAGCAGACTTGGACCAAGAGAAATGAGGAGGTGCCGGGTCCCAGGGTGTGAGCTGTGCCTCTGCCAGTTGGAGGCGGCAGGATTCCCACCCCTGCCAGCGTTCTCCCAGCCAAGGCCACCGGATGGCTAAGGTGGACGCTGACAAGAGCGGCACAGGGGAAAGCCAAGGTCAGTTCATGCCAAGGGCAGGGGGACAGGCCCAGGCTTTGCCTTGTCTTGTAAGCAGCAGCTATGGCCAAAGCTGTTTTTGCCACAGGGATGCCTGTGCGAACAGGCCGGCTTCCTGCGGCTGGGGGCACAGCACCTCACACTGAGGAATCAATTCAAATCTTGAAAACGCCTTGGGCCCACAGCAGCACCATCAACACCTGGCCCAGACCAGGGTATGTAGCTAAGAAAGCTTGTGTCTAAACAAGTGTCTCCTGCAGCTGCTCAGGCTCAGCCTAGATCCACCCAATTACAATGAGAACAATGCTTTCCAGTTTTCTCATTTTGTTCTTCACAGAGAAAGCAACTGCACAAGGTGGAATTTAATACTGTGAGCCAAGAGCCAGGTTTATAAAAAGCAAATTAGTGTTCTAAAATAGACCCTCAAAACCAGCTACATGTGCCAACGCAGGGCCCAGGGGCTGCGACTTGCCCTCCTAGGACTCTGTTAATGGAGAAACGTAGGCTTGTTAAAACTATAAAGTGCTCACTTAACTTACGGGCAGAAGAGGAGGGGACAAGATAAATTGTTGTTCCAAAAAGGGCCATATAAGAACAGCCAACCTGGAGGGGAAACGTTGCTTTCCGTCACATGGGGAATCGTCTAGTGTTCAGTGGCAGAGGCACGGCAATTTTAAGGGCACATTTTGGTTGGGGGCTCACAGCCCGCAAGCCAGTGGCAAGAGGGCGGGAACAAACGCTACAACCAGGGGTTGGCTTTCAGGCATGAGGGTGCTGTATGAAGAAGCCAGCTGGGAACCAAAGTGCCCGCAGACCGACCGGAGGGAGGTGCTGTTCCCTCGGACCACGAGGGCCCTTCATACTGAAGGACGCCGGGCATCGGGGCACCAGCAGCTCAGGACTCCGATGGACGCTGCCCTTTCCCCTTCAGCCACTCATGGAGGTCCTTCCTGCTGAGCCTCAGCTCTCTGTGCTGGAGACAAAAAGGGGGCATCCCGGGCCACGGTCAGGTCTTGCCCGGGACCAGGAGTGTCTGGCTGGGAAGCAGGGTGCTCAGGACCCAGGCAACATGGCCAAGGGTAGCTCTCCACACTCCACCACCAGCCCCCAAAACTGCCCGGGAGCAGCAAGACCAGGAACTCCGCTGACAACCAAACCAAGGAAGTGAAAACCATGCCAGTCTTGCCCTGTTGTTCCCTGCCGCCCCCCTCGCCCGCTCCCATCTCACTTCTTGTAACCGTCTTGCTTCACGTTCAAGCTAGAGCTCTGAGGCGGGAGTCCCGGTGAAAAGGGCTTCTGGTACCAAAACCTGTATGTCCCGTACCAGCCCAGCAAGCCGAACATGGTGCCAAACAACTTCTGGGAGAAGTCATGGAAATACACTGCCGTGCACAGGAACATCCACAGCCACACACAGGTCAGGAAGCCCAGGGCCACCACCAAGGTGGTGACAAGCATGTGCAAGAAGTGGCTCCGCTCTGTCCTCACCGCGTGCAACACGGCCATCTCTTCCACGATCATGAGGGCACAGAAGGCCAGCAGGAAGGAGTGGCCGGAGATGTCGAAGCCGTGCCAGAAGCCTCCCTCCTGCTGGCACTGCGGCTTACTCTGGATCCCCTTCCGGAGCCCGTCCAGGGCCGGGGACTGGTAGCAGCTGCCAGTGTAGTGTTCGATGCAAGAGAAGAGGGCCGTGCAGACGTACCAGATGGCCGTACCCACCAGCAGGGTGCTCAGCCGCCGCACGACGAGGCTGGCCTGGCCCGTCAGGAGGTAGTTGGTGAGGGCAATGAAAGGCAAAAGGAGGCAGAACGTCCAGGCCCAGGCCAGTTTGACAAAGTACCTGACGGGGGAGGAGAGCGCAGGTGAAGGGTGGCCACGCAAGCTGCCCACCCGAGGCTACTCCGACAGAGGCAGAGAGAATCTCTGGGGTACCACCTGGGCGCCCCTTCCACGATGCCCAGGGCGAGGGTGGGAGAAGCACATAGTCACACTCCTCACTTTACAGGTAAGGAACCGAGGCATGGAGAAGTGTCCTGCCCTCGAAGGCTGGCAGTGGTACAGCCGGGGTTCAAATCCGGGGTCGGCCATGCTGACCACTCTGCTACCAGCTCAGCAAAGTAAAAGAAACTGAACGCCCAGAGCTTTCTCTCCTGCCCCACTGGTCATTCTGAGACGAAGGCTCTGTTCACCCCACTATACACACAGGGGATCTGAGGTCACACCCTGTCAGCCAGGCAGGCGCAGCTGACACCAACCTGGCTGGCCCCAAGCCCTGGCTACCATCCCACGGTCCTCGGCAGCCAAAACCATCTTAGAACTTGCCTTCCCGTGGCCGACCCAGGTTCAAAGCCCTCACTCCAGGTGCAGTGACTCCCTAGTCCCCCTGCAAGGAGTTGGCAACAGATCAGAAACAAAGGCTAGACTCACAGCTACCCCAAACAACACCAGCCCCTGTGCCAGGCTGCTGGAGCTCCCAGCTCCCCGGGCCAGACTCACCTGCCACGTGCCCACAAAAGGGGGCGGCCCTGGGGGGCCAGGGGCAACAAGCTCCTCTCCCCCGTGGGGTACTGCGATTTCCAGTCTGTTCTTTTAGGCCAGCACTCGGGGTGTGTTAGAGCAGCAAGTGGACTGAGGGCAGGAGATCCCTGGCCTAGCCGGGCATTCAAGGGCTGCCTGGCATAACCTGTATCCTGCCCCAGCCAAGCCTGTGGCAGCTGCCTGGGAGAGACACCCCCGGGGTATTAGGGTGTTACCGAGATAAGCTGGGCCCAGGGGCCGGAGGCACCCAATGGGGTTCACACCTACCAGAGAAGTAGTTTTACCTTCCCGAAAGTCCCTTAACTGTTGCAACAGTGTTTGTGCAACCAACCTATGATCTAGTTTTTCGAAAAGGCCCGAGTGGGTGGAGTTACCACGTCCCCAAAGCCCGGGGGGGAGACGGCTCTGCAGGGGTTGGCCATGCACTTGGCTGGGAAGGTCCAAGGAGGCCCAGGGGGAAAGGTCAACGCCTGGGTGGGGGGTCTGCAGACCGAGGAGGTGCTGCCATCTCTCCAAAAAGGCAGGTGCCAACTCCGGACACACCCTGACCCCACCCCGCCACACACACACACACACACACACACACACACACACACACACACTCGCTCCCACCTGTCACTGTCTCCGCCGGCCCCCACGACCTGCGAGTGACAGCCGCTGCCCCGGGTCCCTCGGTCGCCCTCCCTGCTGCCACGGCTTCCAGCCACCTCCCCGGGATCAGGCGGCGGCGGCGGGGCGCCCTGACGCGCGGAGGGACACCGGGGTACACTCACACGTTCAGGACGTTGCGCTTGTTGCTGAGGTAGCTCTCGGGCAGCGGGGAGAACTCCTTCACGAAGGAGCCCGCCACCATGGAAACCACGAGCGCCAAGGGCAGGTAGCGCCTCACGGCCGCCCGTACCAGCGTGCCCCGCAGGAACCAAGCGCAGCGTTCCAGGTGCTCCATGCCGGCCACCGTCCGCCGCCGCGCGCTTCTCGGCCACCGTCTTGCCCTTCGCTCGGGACGGCGCCGGGCCGCCTCTCTTAATGCGCCTGCGCACAGCCCGAGTGGGCCCCACCCCTGGCAGAGGGAGGGCGCTCCGGGGCGCGCTCCCCCTGGTGGCCACCGGCGCTCCCTGCAGCGTGCCCATGCTCTCCTTAATACAAAACTTTCGCAACTTGCTTTGAGTTGGGGAAAAGATTGCGGGTGGATTTGCTGCAGAAGATTAAACGCAGCCGAGTAGGAGCTGGAGCGGTGTTCGCGCCATCGTTTAGTCTGGGAGACGCCCCTCTGCACCTGAGCTGCTGCTTTCTTCTCTGTAAAGTGAAGGAACAAAAGGTCCACTTTTCCTAAGCGTTAGTTTATGAACTTGGGGAGAGGGGGGTGTGGTCTTGTATGGGCATGGCATCTCATTAGAAGTAAATCCTCACGCCTGGTAAACTTTAGATATGAAGTCGTTATTTTCCCGTTTGAGACAAGCACGTGTACTGAATGAAAAGGCTGGGTGGCAAGGTGTATGGAGACGCCTGAGGGGTTGGACGGCGAGCTGAGTCCTCCCCGCCCATGCAGCACGTCTCGTCTCTCTGCCTCAGTTTCCCCGCCTTCAGCCCTTTCCCGAGCCGCTGGTCTCGTTACCGGGGGTGCTTGTGCCTCCCTCCGTGTCTCTGCTCAGGGCCTCCCCTCCCCCGTGGCGTGTCTGTGGGTTGATTTTGCTCGGTCTTGCGAGGACACTGGCCCCTGGGTCTAGGGCTTACCCTCATGTGGAGGTCTTATTTTTAGGTCTGCAAAGACTCATTTCCAGATAAATTCACATTTCTCAGTGTCACAGATCATTGTCAGTATGCCACCAGTTCTATAACCCAATATTGTAATCTCTAATTGCTCTTTCAATAACACACATTAAAGCTTAATGACAGGGCCCTGTGCTGCGGCTCAGCAGGTTCAGGCGCCTCCTATGGTGTTGGCATCTGGATCCAGTTCCCTGCCAATGCTCCTGCCCTCCACACAGCAAATCTGGATGGAATTCCAGGCTTCTGGCTTCTGGCAGATGAACGCTGGCCATTGCAGCCATTTGTGGGGGGTGAAGCAATGTATGGAAAATCTGTCTCGGGGCTGGCAAGGGAATAGAGCTGGCCAGTCCTCCTCCTGCCTGTGCGAGCATCCCATGTGGGCACCAGTTTGTGTCCCAGCTGCTCCACTTCCATTCCAGCTCCTTGCTTATGCCCTGGAAAAGCAGCAGAGGATGGCACAAGTCCTTGAAATGCTGTACCCATGTGGGAGTCCCAGAAGAAGCTCCAGGCTCCTGGCTTAGGATTGGCTCAGCTCCAGCCTCTGCAGCCATTTGAGGGATGAATCAGCAGATGAAAGATCTTTCTAACTCTCCTTCTTTCTGTAGATTTGCCTTCCCAATACAAAATAATGCATTTTCATAAATAAATTAATATTTTTAAATAAAAAGATTTCTCTGTCCATATCTCTGCTCCTTTCCGCTCTGCTTTTCAAATAAATAAATAAATATTCTAATGAAAGTTACAAAAGTGGGAACAGCTGGCGCTGTAGTTGGGACTGGGCTCTGCTGGTTGAGATTGCCGTATTGGCAAGTGTCTGGCCCAAGCCCCAACTCCTCTGTTCCACTGCAGCCTCCTTGCCAGCTCACTCACTGGAAGGCAGCAGGAAATGACCTAAGTCCTTGGGCCCCTGCCCTGTGGGAGACCCAGCTGAAGCTCCTGGCCCTGGCTTGGTCCACACCACCCCAGTGCAGCTGGGTCTTTATTTCTGTACCCACCTCTCTGTCTCTGCTTTTTGAATAAAACAACAAACAACTTTTAAAAATATAAAAACCTGCTGCTAGCCATCCAGCCAGTTATCCATGCAATTAAGCATGGTGTACATCTGTAGAATTTTTCTACCACAAAGAAAACACATTGATTGAAATATTTATTTCCATTTGCTGCCTTCAATTATCTCATGTCCCATATCAAGGTATCCGGTGCCTTGGGGAAAACCTTGTCTGATTTCTACCTATGTCAGATTGCCACTTACAGCCTCCAATGCAGAGACACAGCAAATCAAGTCAAAGTAGTAAATCTTAAAGCCTTCTTCTTAAGATGATCATGTTTGGGCCCAGCACAGTAGCCTAGTGGCCAAAGTCCTCACCTTGCATGCACCAGGATCCCACATGGGCACTGGTCCGTATCCCCAGTTCCCGTCCAGCTCGCTGCCTGTGGACTGGGAAAGCAGAAGAGAATGGCCTTGGGGCTCTGTACCCATGTGGAAAACCCAGAAGAGGCTCCAGGCTTTGAATCGGCTCAGCTCTGGCTGTTGGGGCAACTGGAAGAGTAAACTAAAGGACGGAAGATCTTTCTGCTTTTCCTTCTCTCTGTAAATTTGCCTTTGCAATAAAAACAAATAAATCTCTTAAACAAAGATGATCATATCTCTAGGTTGCATTTACTTAATAAGGTCTTTTTTTTAAGTTTGCTTAATTTTTTTTTTTTTGAGAGGCAGAGTGAGAGGGGCGAGAGCGAGATCTTGCATTCGCTAGTTCACGCCCCCAAAGGATCCCAACAGGTGGGACTGAGCCAGCCGGAAGCCAGGAGCTGGGAACTGCATCCGGGTCTCCCGCACGGGCGGCAGAGAATGAAGCACCTGAGTGTCGGCCTCCTGTCAGCAGGTGCATTCCCAGGCAGCTGTACCGGAAGTGAAGGTAGGACTTTACCCCTGGCTCCCCAAAAGGGACAAGGACTGTCTCAAATGGCAGACTGACCCACTGCCTCACAGCATCTCTGAGCTTTCAAAAAGCTGGGCTTTGCAAAAGAAAACACAGCAGACCCTCGAAGCAGCTCCAGGGTGAGAGGGGCCCACCTCACCCGCCACCTCAGCAGAAAACCCTCCTCGAAGCTCTCAAGGAACTATGAGACGCCCCCCCGGAGGGTGGGAAGGTTTGCCAACAGCATCAGCAGCTGAAAGGTGAGTTTGTTCCATTTGGGTTGGGGTAGCTGCGTTCCTGCAGAGTGGAGAGCACGCTTACTCACCGTTTGACTCCCTCCAAATGGCCACAATGGCTAGGGGTGGGCCAGGCTGGGAGGCAGGGAGCAACTCAAATCTCCCTCATGGATGACAAGGTCCCAAATCCCAGCACCACCCCCCTTTGCTCCCCTAGCAGTCCTCCCCCCACACACTGCCTCCCGGGACCTGCTCTGGTCGGCGGCTGGAGCAGGAGCGGAAGGCAGATATCCCGTGACGTGGATGTGGGCATCTTAACCAGTGGACTAAACACACACCCCCATTCCTGGAGACTTTGAAGACTGACTTCAACTCAGGCCTGGAACCGCATTGGAGGTCTCGAGCACATTTCCATCCATTTCTTTTAAGTTTCATCCTGGACTAGGAAACACTTGTGCTGTGAGCTGGCTAAAGGTGCCGGGGCAGCTGATGGGGGCCAGTGGGCTGATTAACGTTCCCAGACGTTAACAAGCTGATTGTGGGTTTTTTTTTTTTTAAAAAGATTTATTTTATTTTTATTGTAAAGTTATAATACAGACATCTGAGAGTTTCCCTACTTGTCCACTATGCGACATATACTTTCTAGTATAAAAAGTTTAATGAAAATATATATGTGTTTTCTACTACATGTTCCCTAGAGAGCTGGCTCTTGGGCGTCTAGCCCCACAGCGCTGATCTGACACACACAGGAGGAATGCCTGGACACAGGATCCCATATCAGAGTGTTGGGTTAGCGTCCGGCTCTGCTCCCACTTCTGGTTTCTTGTCCACAGGCGTCCTGGGAGGCAGGAGGTGATGGCACCTACGTGGAAGACCCCAGCGGAGTTCCCAGCTTCATTCTGGTCCAGCCCAGCTGCTGTGGGCATTCTGGGAGGGCACCAAAAGATAGGAGTATCTCTCCCCCTCTGCCCTTTCCTCCTCCCTCTCTTCCCGCCTTCCTCCTTCTCTTTCAAAGAAATAATAATTTCCAATAATGTATTGGAAAGACAGATGTACACAAAGACCTACCATCTACTGGTTCACTCCCCAAATGGCCACAACGGCCAGAGCTGAGCTAATCCAAAGCCAGGAGTCGGGAGCTTCCTCCAGGTCTCCCACATGGGTGCCTATGGCATCCGCTACTGCTTTCCTAGGCCATAAGCAGAGAGCTGGATGGGAAAGGGGGCAGCTGCGACATGAAGCTTGTAGCATATAGGATGTTGGCCCTTGCAGGTGGAGGACTGGCCTGTTGAGCCACCTCACTGGCCCCAAATAAATAATAATTTTTTAGATATTAAAAAATGTATGCAGCATAAAACAAACATATTCTGTTAGTAAGTATATACAGCTGTCGCTAGAACTGCATGACAGTTCGTGTTAGGATTTCTGTTGGTGTGTGAGGCACTCTGACATTTTCTACTTAAGTTTAAAATTCAGTTTTCTAAAATGCTAGTCATGATCCACAGAAGTAACTTGAAAACCAGTAAGTAACTTGCTCAGAAGTAACTTGAAAACCGGTGCATTAGGAAATGAAGCTGTTTGGGCCTGGCACCATGGCTCCGTGGCTAACTCCTCGCCTTGCAAGTGCGGCATCCCACGTGTGTGCTATGCCAGTGGATGAATCTACCTTTCCAATAAAAAGAAAGAAATGGAAAAAAGAGAAAGAAATGGAAAGGAAGGAAGGAAGGGAGGAAAGAAGGAAGGAAGGAAGGAAGGAAGGAACGAAAGAACGAAGGGAAATTAGAGAGTGCCATCCCACTATTGCCCGCCAGAGGGGGATACAGGGCTACCGAAGCCAGACATCCGTCCTCTGGAGACTTTTGGAAGTTTGACAGAATTGTTTGCTGGTTCTGCAAGCGCTTGTTGGAAATAAGTGATTTTTGCACAAGGAAATGTGAAGGTGTCCCATATTCATGAATCGGGAGAATTCGTATGTTAAAGTGTTCAGGCTACCAAAGAAATCTGTAAGTTCAACATCATTTCTTTTTTTTTTTTTTTAAAGATTT